CTAATAACCTCCTTAAATAATTTCTATTTGGCTACATGTAGCTCTATCTCTGCGCGTTGGTTTTTGTTGAGTTTTAATATAGGATATGACAAATAAGAAACATCATTTGATGATACACCTTAGTTTTTCCCCCTTCTACTACACTTCTATTCCAAATAGATGGAAACTAATTAAATAGAAAAATAGGCATAGATGATGTCATGAACCAGTTGGTCCCAATAACTCGAGTTGTTGAGACTTGAGAGAGGCTCAATCGTGGATCATATACCACAACACTAACACGCCCCTTCAAACGAAAGTCACTCACAATGGCTTGAAGTTTGCACAGGTCTGAAGACAAGAATACATGTGCTTAACAAATGTGGGTCACTGGGAATCGAACACAAGACCTCTCGGTCACAGAAGACTCTGATACCATGTCAAGAACCAGTTACTCCCAATAACTCGAGTTTTTAGAAGAGGTTCAATCGTATATCATATATCACAAACTAACAAATTAGATGATACAACAATGACAACAATATTAAAATTAAGAAGGATTCCAACTAAAGCCAACCTAATACACTATTTCCCAGTCTTTGACCTCCTCCCTAGATTAAAAAATAAAAATTAAAACCAAAATAAAAACTAACCCAAGTGGTTTAGGGCCATCAGCTCCGGTAACGACGTGGCAGATAGAGACTGGCTATTTTCTCTAATTGCAACTCTCCTTCTTCCTTCCTTTCCTTTCCCTTCTCCCCCGCCCTCTCCAATGGAGTGAGCCACCAAATCAGAGAAAACAAAGCAACAAACCTAAACCCCATTTTCCGGCCACCATAAAATAGCCAGAGAAAGCTTCATTCTTTCTGCCCCCCTCAAAATCCCAGAGATCGATTACTCGGGAAATGGCGAATGCAAACGCAAGCGGAAATGGGAAGCTAGCCTTCGTCTTTCTCGGCAATCAAACACCCTTCTCTGAAACTGAGCCCTTTTCGCTACACTTCTAATTGATTAGCAACAATGGGGGGACTTAAGGTGTTGGAGAAGTTCAAGAGCGCCCAGGTTCATGCCTTCACTAATACTACTGCCGCTACTCCGCCGGGGACTCCGTCCAGGGCCATAACGTCGTCGTCTTCGAAGTCCAAGTGCGCCGGCGGCGACGGTAGTGCTTCTTCGTCCCAATCTCAGTATCAATCTCTGCTCCTTCCCTACGGCCTACCCACCACTGAACTTCTAGAGCCCAGAATCGAGCCCTACTTGAAGCCCGTCGACTCCGTCGATTCGTTAGCCGACCTCTACCGCCGGCTCGCCGTTTCCAGCCCTTCCGATAAATCCACTCTACTCATGGAGCAGTTCTCGCTTTCTCCTTGCTTGGTCGATCCCAAGCTCCCCCGCAAGTGCCTCTCCGCCGCCAGGCAACACGCCGTTGATGTTCACTCCAAGGTCGTCCTCTCTTCCTGGTTGAGATTCGACCGCAGGGATGACCAACTCGCCGGCGTCTCCCCCATGGATTGCCGCAATTGTTTCCTCGAGTGTCCATCCGCCGCCCTAGTTTCTGGGTACGATCCCAATTCGGTCAACGATCGATGCCGATGCTGCGGTGATACGGCTGCCGCTGCCGCAGCGGTGGTTATCACTGACTGTCACGAGAACAGCGGCGGTGATGTCGTGTTCTACATTAATGGAGAAACCGTGCGTTGCGTGAGATCGAGGATCGCCGCTCTCTCACCCCCGTTGAAGGCGATGCTGTATGGTAGCTTCGTGGAGTCGAGGAAGAGAAGGATCGATTTATCCAAGAGCGATATCTCCGTTGAAGGAATGAGAGCAGTGGAGATTTACAGCAGAGTTAACAGAGTCGATTCCTTCTCACCGGAGAGAGTCCTGGAGCTGCTATCCTTCGCCACCAGATTCTGCTGTGAGGAGATGAAATCCGCCTGCGATCAGCATCTAGCTTCCATGGTCCGCAGATTGGAAGACGCTGTAATCCTGATTGATTACGGTCTGGAAGAATCAGCCACTCTCCTCGTTGCTTCTTGCGTACAGGTAATCCTCAGAAACATCCCAAGCTCACTCTCAAACCGTAAAGTACTCAGAATCCTCTGTGGGTCTAGAGCTAGGGAAAGAATATCAATGTTAGGCCACCCTGCAACTTTCCTGCTATACTATTTTCTCAGCCAAGTAGCCATTGAAGAGAGCATGGCATCCAACATCACGGTCATGTTGCTCGAATCCATGCTCGAATTCGGGGTCGAGAAATGGCAGAAGGCTCTCGCAGCTCACCAATTGGGCTGTGTGATGCTCGAGCGACGAGAGTTCAAGAACGCTCAATCATATTTCGAAGCAGCAGTTGATTCAGGCGGCCACGTTTACTCTCTGGCTGGTGTTGCACGAGCCAAGTACAAACAAGGCCAGCAGTATTCTGCTTTCAGGTTGATGAACTCGTTGGTCTTTGAGCATAAACCGGTTGGATGGATGTATCAGGAGAGGTCTCTGTATGGCCTTGGCCGAGAGAAGCTCATGGATTTGAACACTGCAACCGAGCTCGATCCAACCTTATCGTTTCCTTACAAGTTTAGAGCAGTGAAGAAAGTGGAGGAGAGGAAGATGTCGGATGCTATATCGGAGATTAATAAGTACATTGGGTTCAAGCTCTCAGCTGATTGTCTCGAGCTGCGAGCTTGGTTGTTCATCGCGATGGAGGATTACGATAGCGCTCTAAGAGATCTTCGAGCAATGCTGACTCTGGAACCTAATTATATGATGTATAGACGGAAGATGTGTGCTAGTTATGTGGTTGAGCTAGTGATCAGCTGCGGCCGGGTGGTTCAGCATTGGAGCTTGGCTGATTGCTGGATTAAGCTTTATGAGAGATGGTCTAGCGTTGATGATGTTGGTTCTCTGGCTATCTTACATCAGATGCTTGTCAATGATCCTACTAACAGCCTGCTGAGGTTTCGACAGTCTTTGCTTCTTCTTAGGTACTTTATTTTGCGATTGGAAGTTATTTTTCTCGAATGCGTTCCATTTGGTTTCTTCTTGCATGTAATGCCATGAAAGACAACAGGTTGAACTGCCCAAAAGCTGCAATGAGCTGCTTGCGCTTGGCGAGAAACCATGCAGCTTCGGAACACGAGAGGCTGATTTACGAAGGATGGATTCTCTATGACATCGGTCACAGGGAAGAAGCGCTTTCCAAAGCCGAGAAATCCCTTCACATACAGAGATCATTTGAAGCTTTCTTCCTGAAAGCTTACATTTTGGCTGATACAAACTTGGATCCTTTGTCTTCATCTCACGTCATTCAACTCTTGGAGGAAGCTCTCAAATGCCCATCGGATGGTCTACGAAAAGGGCAGGTAAGTCACGTTTCATATGTTTCTCTCTACTCAATCTATGTTCCTTGGATCTTCATTCTCGATTGAATTGCCCTGGATTTGATTTCTTTATCTGTAGGCATTAAACAATTTGGGGAGTATGTACGTCGACTGCGGGAAGCTGGATAAGGCTGCAGACTGCTACACGAATGCACTCAACATCAAGCACACGAGAGCCCACCAAGGATTGGCACGAGTCTACCAGCTCAAAAACCAACGAAAGGCTGCATTTGACGAGATGACAAAGTTGATAGAGACGGCATATGGCAATGCGTCAGCTTACGAGAAACGGTCCGAGTACTGTGACCGTGAGATGGCCAAGAGTGATCTCAACGTGGCCTCACAACTCGACCCACTGAGAACTTACCCCTACAGATACAGAGCTGCTGGTGAGTTTATCAGCATCTCAAGAGCTCTCTTCCAGTCTTCCCTTTCCGTTTTGTTCTTCATTTCATTTTGTTGAGCTGACAAGCTGCTTTGATTGGTTTCCAGTGCTGATGGACGATCAGAAGGAAGCAGAAGCTGTGGAAGAGCTAAGCAAGGCGATAGCTTTCAAACCTGAACTGCAAATGCTTCACCTTCGGGCAGCGTTTCATGAATCCATGGGAGAAATTGTTGCTGCATTAAAGGACTGTGAGGCGGCACTATGTTTTGATCCCAACCACCTCGACACTCTTGACCTGTACAACAGGACCAAAGAAAGAGCCGCTCGGCAGGATGAGATTTGACTCGATCAAGGCTAATCCTTGTCTCTATTTTTGTTTATGATGATGGTCAAAGAAAGACAGAAGACGGCGAAGAAGAAAGTCGCACACTTGTCATCTGGCCCACCAAGATGTGGAAATAGAAGCTCTGTGGCAGCAGGGTTCACTGAAACAATGGAGCTGAATGCTGGAAGAGAGTGGTGGAAGAAATGGAACATGGAGTAGCCAGCCTCCATGGAAATTGTAGGTTTGAAAGAAAGGTTCCACTCTCAGCTATAGCTAGCAGCAGGCAAGGCATTCAAAGGTGAAAGAAAGGTTCTTTCTGTTGTAACTTAAAGCTGTCATTCTTCTCTCCCACAACCGTACAGTTCTTTTTGCAGTTTTGTGTTATTGAATTTGGTCACACCATTCAGCTTGTACATAAAAACAGAGCTCACCAAGGAGATATAAATTAAAACTTCAATTTTCTGGTCAGTACGTTGTGCTTCTAATGACTAATGAAACTCTTTTTCTTATCACATACCATCCTATAGTTTTGTTACTGTCATCTTTGCTGATGATTTGAGCACAAATCCCTTGGTAGAAGATTTCTTCACAAATCATTGTTTGAAAATCTATCACTGTGGTTTGTCTCTTTTATCCTCATCAATTTATGTTAATCCCAGCCTTCAAATTCACCTAGACTGAGAGTTGCTCTGTGATATATGAGGATATTAGGGTCATTGACAACACACACCTAAAATCACAACCAAGCAACACAAATTTGAAATCCAGTTCTTTCCAGATCCATGCATTTACACAATCCATCTCTTTTCAAATTGATCCAATCGATCTCTACACAAAAAGTGAACCGAGCTTGAACCTTTAGTTTTACGAACATCTGCAGTTAGTTCATTCGTTCTGATAGACTAGTAATATACTCAACAAAACATAGGAATACAGTAGAAAGATGAAGATAGTTGGAACATCTTTTTATATATGAAACTGAGATTGTTATTTGATGTTGCACAACTTGCAAGCACAATTCCTTTCTATACAAGCAACTCTTAGAAAAGAACCAAACCAAAGGCCCCACATCAAGTCCGAGATCTCGTTTTCCCCCGGCTATATATACATAGATCATGCTCACTCACTCTCTGTGCTTTCTTTACATTTCGAACCCACTGTCAGTCACCCCTTTACTACTAAATCATCATCTCTTAGCATACACTCCAGAATTTGTCGGGAGAAAAAAACAAGGAACAAAGAAATGAAATAATCAGACTGACAACCAGACAAGCAACAATACATAACTCATCATGTTTCATGTTATAACATACATACCTCTCTCAGCACTCTCAGCTTCCATCAGTAGACATGATCTCGAGCTCTGCCCACCACAGAGGTGACAACCTTGGTGTGGCTCGGTCAACATCCAAGCAAGTTATCTCCTTCAACCTCTCTGCTACCTCTCTCATCGTCGGTCTCAATTTCACGTCAGGTTCAATGCAGTTCCTGATCACTTCAACCAGTTTCACGAGTTCGTCATGCTGGAATGCTTTTAAAGTTGGGTCGACCATTTTGCCTACAGGTTGGTCTGCTCTCAAGTGGTTGGATGCCCAGTCGATGAGAGAGCCATCGGCTGATGCATATGGGATTCGACCGGTTATCATCTCGAGCAGGACCATTCCAAAGCTGTACACATTGCTCTCTGCGTCTGCTGGTGGGGATTCCAGCAGCTCGATTGCCTCTGTCGTTCCCATCATCTTGGCTGCAGTCACGTCATTCCAGAAGCTGAAATCGGATATCTTGCCTGCGTAGTCTTCGGTGAGGTAGATGGACGATGATCGGAGGCTTTCATGGTAAATTGGTGGAGTCAGCTGGTGCATGTGCTCGAGACAGTAGGCCATGCCCATTGCTATACGGAGTCTTGTACCCCAGTCTAAGTGTTCTGCTTCTTTTACTGCACATTATTAATCATCATTTAAAGACTTCACTCAATAGCTCTAGCACCAAATAAATGACAGAGATATGTTCCAATTCCCATCACGTTCTCAAGAGACTGCCATTCTTCCCCCAACGGCCGACCCATCAGGCAGTGAACCCATATAAGTCCAGCCTATTTGCCACCCCTAACCTCTAACGTGCTATCCCGTGTCCACATGAGACCAGTTCATTTGAGGTTTGACTAACATGCTTGAAAGAAATACAGAAAGAGAACATATTACTTACTGTGCAAATGTTCGAAGAGGGTTCCATTGGGGGCATACTCGAAGACCATCATTCTCGTGAAAGGCTCATCCTCTTCACAGAATCCAATCAGATTGACGAAATTCTTGTGGTTCACTTTGGATAATGTCTCAATCTGGAAGGGAAAGTGAGAAAAGAAACTAGCATGGTTTAGAAACTCATTTTAGAAATCTCTCAGGAAGGTGTTCCAATTTCAGGGTTTGAGGAGTAAACCTTTTTCCTGAACTGTGCCTCCAAATTCTTCGACCAGTCTTTCTTAGACGAGACTCCAACAGATGTCACAGCTATTTCAACCCCGGTCGACAAGGTTCCCTTGTACACTGTGCCATCAGCAAACGTGCCGATTATGTTGCTGAAGTCCTCACAGGCTGCTTGAAGTTCCAGCCTCTTCAGTTTTGGTACACCTGCAGAGAGCACGATCAAAATGAACCCTCAGCACATAGAAATAAACCATTAATAGGGTTTTGTAACTGAGAAATGTGGAGAAGATTCGGATGACCTGTTACAAATGCCCTTTGTAGTTGTCCGCTTAAACCAGTGGCCCAAGGTCTGACTGTAACTACCTTATTGCTTCTAAAGAAGGTGAGTCCAATTGCTGAAAACAAAAGGAACAGAGACCCGCCAACAATACCGGCAACTATAGGTGCGTGATGATGCCTTTCTCTCGAACGGCGGCCATTGTTCCTACTACGTTCTGTAGCAGTAGAACCAGGGCCCTCAGTTGGACGTGCAAAAACTGTAGCTGGTGGATCGGATGAAGATGGTGCAATTGAGGCTGAAGTTGGAGGCAAAGGGAGACCACCAGAAGGGCTTCCTGCCGGGCTGAAGGATGGAGATGGTGAAGGGGATGGTGATGGTGATGGAGGGAAAGAGGGTGCTGAGAAGGGCGACCCAGAAGGTGCTGGTGAAGGTGATGACGGAGGCTGTGAGGGTGCAGACGTTAATGGCGTGTTTCGGAACTGTAGTAGCATCCTGTGAGCACCATCTTGAACTGACTTCCTGATAAATAAAAAACTAAAGTTTGAAGCTGCACATGGAGATGATATTGCAAACTAATTATATACAAGCAAACCTAACTGAAAAATATAGACTTCTGAGGTGAGATCAGAAGTCCATCAATGTCTTTGAGTAATGTTTTTAAAGAACATGGCAGAATTTGTCAATGAAATAAAATTCATGCATGAGTTTGCTATTCAGGTAATAAGATTATTGCCTGCTATACCTATCATGAGCTGCAGTTCTGCATTGGATCTCGTCTGCCTGAATGTTGGAAACCATCCGAAGCTTATCGAATTCGGGAGAAATGCCATCGAGTAATTTGTTGTTGTCAAGTAAACTGCATCCAGGCAGATATCATGTTGATTGGTTCAACCATGTTTAGTAAAGATTATAAAATAAAAGAACATGTGCTGTGTATGGAGAGCTGGAGAAAAAGTCAACTTACAGGGTTGTCAATGAGAGATTGTTGGCAAAGTATTCAGATGGAAATGGTCCACTGAAGTTGTTATATCCCAAGTCCAACACCTCCAGCGCATTCAACTCTGCAATCTCTCTAGGAATGTTCCCAATAAATGAATTGTTCCTCAATATTCTGCAGGCAGACAAATATTCCAAAATCATGAATCTGACTCATTCTCTGAGGTGTTTCCAAACTTATCCTCCAACTGTCAGGAAATGGGAACATGGGGGGGTCTAACCAAGAAGAAAACAAATAGGAAAAGGAAAGATAGAAACATACAATGATTTCAAGTGAGTCAACATCTGCAGCTCAGGAGCCAATGTCCCTCTCAAACACAGATCTTGCAAATGCCTACAAAGATTGCAACAGATCTGCGTTCAGGATTATACACAGAACCAAAAACAAAGAGTAAGAGAGCTATGCTTTTCCCATCAAGGTGAAAAATAGACAAAACCAATCACCAATTTGTACTTCCATTATTATGATTTTAATGGTTTCTTGATCAGCCATTTGTTACAAGCACGCACAAACAGTGAATAACATCCACTTTAGGATTTGATATTTCTTTGGTAGTTGAAGAATGCAGATGAAGACATAAATGAAAGGTGACAGATCTTGAATTGAGAACCACCACCTAACTATTGAATACCGATACTGTACATCACCATCAACATTCATTACTTTTTGTACTCTCATGGCGGTGAAATTACTCCCCATCTACCTTCCCCAACTCGAAAAAAGCATTCCAATTTCTTGTATATTGTAAACCACATTACTGAGATTTCTTCTACCCAAGGGGTTGGATCAGAACCTCAATATCCATGGAAACAAATGGTCTAGTTATTTGATCAATTGAGTAAGATGTTGCATTCACAAGAACTTGAGTGGTATGAATTGAGCACAACCAAGCCAAACCCATGTCGAATTTGCAGAGAGAGTCTATTGTAAGGTGTAAAGCAGCAAAATTTCAGAGATCACAGAAGCAAGAAAAAAGTGGTAAGGACTGGTTTCTCAAAGGATCAATGGAAAACTCACAAGCTGACAACTTGGCCGGAAGCAGAGCAGTGAATTCCAAACCAAGAACAAAAGGAATCAGGATCGTGACGATTCCAGCTGGACAAAGCTCCAAATGGGTCGCTCTCCACTTTCTCCCGGAATCTCAACAACGCCATCCCTATCCCCCAATTCAGTTCAATCAAAACCCAGAACAGACCCATAGTAAAGACTCGGACTTTAGACTCCTAGAGAAGAATGGATATACAAAAATGAGGCAACGCCTTACCTTGAGGGTTGAGAGCAAAGGAGGGCGTGAGGTTTTGATGAAACAGTGACAATGATGCCACCACCATTAACATGAAGACCATTCTGCTGAAGAAGAGATGGGAACTTGTTTTCCATCCTCCGGGATCGTCCATTGATGGGAAGCAAAAGCAACAAAGGAGAGGAGGTCTCAATAGTCAACTAGGAGAAAACTGGTGGGGAGAGGGAGGAAAAACTGAATTTGGTCATGGTGTCAAAGAGAGAACTGCATGCCGCCGGGGCGGCAATGGGGATGAAAAAAGGGGGGAAAGCGCGTGGAGACAAGTAGTAGAGAACATGGGAGGCGGTAAAGTGGGCGGAAGGAAGAAAGGAAGGAAGGAAATTATATTTGGGGAGGAAGAGGTTGAAGCTGCTGTTGGTGGTGTTGTCTTGTGTTGAAGAAGGAATGAGTCGTCCCCACTTCATTCAATGATTCATTCATTCATTAGTAGAATCATTATTGGAAATAATAAACAAAAGGAGGAGGGAGATAAGGTGGTATACGATGGTAGCTACTAGCTAGTGTGTAAACTGGAATGGTAATTCTTAATTGATTCAAAATCGTTAATACCAAAGCAGTATATGATACATGATTAGCTTTGGAGCATGACTTCGATCAGTTTACCACTGTAGTTCCAAGCATACGAATTTTAGATAGGGATGAAAATTTCGACTTAACACGTTTTACTCGATTTGTTTGGCTTGTTTTGAGCGGGTAATACCTACTTCATAAGAATGACGTGACGGTATGGATACTCTCATCGACCCGACCTGATCTGATTCGCCTCATTCTCAACCCGTTCTTGCCTAGATTACATGTAATGTTAGCCAAATTAATTAGAACTTTCCTTTTATTATCTCATATTTTAGCTTTAATAAAATTACAAATAAGAGAGAACCTCATTTTTTTTCAAATAATTTAACTACATTTATCACATTATGGTTTGTTTCTTGGTCTTTTAATGAAAATAACGAATATTTTTCATGTTTTTTTATAAATTACATACCCATTTGGGTCGACCTGCCCAGATACGTACCTAATATAAATTATCCAAACTGCTACGAGGTGTGTATGGGTATCCAATAAATTATCCAAACTGCTACGAGGTGTGTATGGATATCCAGATACTCGTCCCGGACATAGTTAGTAAAATACGGTACGGGAAAGTTACGGATATAATACGTACGTGTATTTTACTTCATCTTTAAGCAAATGTTACGTTTAATAGTACGTTAATAGCCATAAATATATAAAATAAACTATTTTTTAAAATAAATAAATATATAAATAATAGTAAAGTTAACAATTTAATTCATTAAATACGGATATAAAACGTGTTATACGGATTTTATACGTGTTTAGTACGGGAGCCACCAAATGAACGGACAAAAATGAAACGACTTGACAAAAATACGAATACGGAAGTTTTAAACGGATAAAGTACGTACGGGTACATATACGTGTATTAAACAGAGTATTTACTAACTATGGTCCCGGACCTGCTCTTGCCTTTCCTATTTCCAGGTGAATACCAACTACATTATTACTAAGGGGTCGTTTGGAGAATATGAGTTTAAATCTACAGATTGTTAACAATCTAAAGATTCTAACTCTCCAGATTGTTGAAAACAAATTTTAAAATGTTTATTGTTTGGTAATTGTGATTGTTAACATTCAATTAAAATAAAAATATTTAATTTTATATTAAATAAAATTTGTATCCTTAATAAAAAAATTAGAGTGGTTCAAGAAATATTAAAAACTTTGTTGATAGATATATTTCATGTTATAAATAAATAAAAGTAAGAGAAAAACTATGAGGAAAAAAATCTCACGAATCAAGATATAGAATCTCTTTGATTATGAGAGATTTGATATCCACAGATTTCAGAGATTTGAAATCTCTAAAGCTAGAATCCACAATATAGAAAGCAACAAAAAAAACATAACTTTCTATAAAATCTACGGATTCAGTGAATCCATGTCTTGACAACTGTTCTCCAAACGACCCCTAAGTCAAAGAGAGAAAAAATGCCAATATAGGAGTAAAATCCCAATCGGCCATCTTACCGTTCTACTTCTAATTAGGGTTTTGCAACAGTCTGGTACAAATCGAAACACATTATGATAATTGTGGTTCAATAATAATAAAATTATGAGAATCAAATCATTATTATATTTGGTTTGATCCAATATCATTTTGGTTCATTTCTCTTCAATATTCATAAAATTCATGAAACCAAAAATCAAATCACATTATATTCGATCAAATATAATTTAGTCCAAATATCAATTTGATCTGATACAATTAAATACGAAACAAACTATTGCACACGCCTAGTAATATCGCTAGAGTTAATCTTATTGAGCCTTTTCTTTTTGCATCCTTCAATGAAAACTATTCGTTTATAATATGTCTCCAAGCTAAGCAAGAGTTTCCTGTGAATTTGTCAATGGATCATCCAGGACACATTTCTCACTCAATCATAAGGTGGTTCAATTATGAGGGGAATCTGTGATTTGAAATTCGTAACAAGATTAATCGAATTATTGGGTATCCTTTTTTATATAAAAATATGTTAATTAGTTTTTTTAATAAAGATAAGATAAAATTATGTAAGCACTAACACGAATTATTACAGTCGATGCTTTTTTTTTTTTGATAAATGGATGCATAGCATCTCAGCTTTCATTCAAAACCAGACGGGGTTCGGAAATCCCCTGATAGTCATACAACGCCAACCGGCGCAGAGTAGGATCAGAAACAGGAACAACATGAAAACCAAGAGGCAAGGAATGCCCCCGAGTAGCAAGAAAGTCAGCACACTTATTACCCTCACGATAAATATGATGGACCGAAACCTCCCAATCTCTATGGAGGAGCTCAGAAAACCTGTGGACAATGGCTGCATGATGGTGGTCTGAATCACGGGTATTCAAGAGCAGCTGAACAGCACACTGCGAGTCCAACTCCACTCGTACCCGGCGGTGTCCAAGGCTCCAAGCCAACTGAAGTCCCTCTACAGCGCCTCTCAACTCAGCCCGGGTGATAGAACAACTCCCCAGGTTAATAGCAAATGCCGACAAGCAGCATCCTGTGTGATCTCGCAACAAACCACCCGCAGCAGCGTGGTTTGTATCAGTGTGAACGGAGCCGTCAGTGTTGAGAGTAACCCACTCGGGAGGTGGCGGCTGCCACGAGATCTCCACCTCCGTTCTAGCGGGTCGGTGAGGCGGGTGAACAAGCCTCTCCATGTCCATGGCATTCTGCACTACATTAATCCATGCCAGGACGCGCTGTAGGAACTGATCAGTTGATATGGTCTTGCCTGCGAAGACTCGATCATTCCTGGTCTTCCAAATAGACCAGCAGGTAATGCCAAACTGCAAGGCGTGTTGCTGGTGACGAATGTTGTTCATAATCCAATCCTGTAGAGTAGCTCCGAAGAAGGTCTGGTATTCAGAAGGCTGAATGAGATGCATCCAAGTTAACCTGGAAAAGGTGCAGTCCCGCAACACATGCAGGACTGTCTCGGGTCCTTGATTGCAATAGGTACAGCCGCAGGCGCGGGCCAGGTGGCGACGCTGTCTTTCCGCATTGGTGAGAAGTCTCTCCTTTGCTGCCAGCCACAGGAAGTGATTAACCCGAGCCGGACCCATCCATCGCCAGACAGCTTTCCAGTCGAGCCCCGGTGCTCCTTCCTCCAACTCCGCCGCGATGCGATAGGCCGATTTCACACGGAATTTCCCATCCTGCTCCGGGCACCAGGTCGCGACGTCCTCGCCCAGATCGTCTGCAGGAGGCTGAATACCCTGTACCTGCAAAACCATTTCGTGAGGTAGATAAGACTGGAGCAGGGGGGTATTCCACTCACCGTTAGGGAGAACAAAATCCGCCACTGGTTGATCCAGGTCAATTGGGTGGTCGACAAGAATGGCATGGTCCAGAATAATTTCGCCACTATCCAGCCACCGGTCAGTCCAAAACTTCGTGTCCCTACCATCCTTGATACTCATCTGCATCCCTCTGGCCATGATAGGCCAGGCTTTTCTAATTCCCCGCCATAGGACTGAAGTTCTTGTAGAGGATTTAGCCTGGAGCACTCCCTCCACCCGCCTGAAATACTTAGCTTGCAAAACACGCACCCACAACTCATCCGAATCCTTAACAAACAACCAAGCCAACTTAGCCAGGAAAGCCAAGTTTAGCTCATGGGCCTTTCGGAGTCCCAGACCTCCGTCCTCCTTAGGTTTGCACAACCCCTCCCAGTGAACCAGATGCACCTTCTTAGTATCAGCCGTAGAGCCCCAAATGAACCCACGTATCTTCCTATCAATCTGGTCGCAGATAGATTGAGGTAGGAGCGTGGTTTGCATCGCATAAATAGGTAAAGAACTCAACACCGACAGAGCCAAAGTGACTCTTCCCGCCAAACTCAGGCTCTTGGCCCTCCAACCTGCCAACTTGTTATCCAAATGATCCAAGATGTAGCGGTATGTATCACGAGTGACCTTACCATGTAAAACCGGTACTCCGAGGTACCTCCCAAGATCCTGTGTTGCCCGAATGTCTAGTACTTGGGTGATGGAGGAGCTCACCGGTCTCGTGGTATTACCGGAAAAGAAGACAACTGATTTATCTTTGCTGACTTGTTGCCCTGACGTCATGCAGAAGCTGTCTAGACAATCCATCATAACCCGTCCCTGCTCAATAGTAGCCTCTGCAAACAGAACAATATCATCAGCAAAAAAGAGGTGGGAGAGAGGAGGTCCACCTGGGTTGGTACGAATAGGGCGCCACCGTCCCGCTGAAATCTCACAATCGATCCTGTGGCTGAGTCTCTCCATGCACAGAGTAAAGATGTACGGTGAGAGCGGACACCCTTGTCGTAGACCCCTAGAGGGGGTAAACGGCTCTGTACAGCTCCCATTCCACAAGACCTGCATCGTTGAAGAGGTGATGCATTGCATAATGACCTCTACAAGATTAGCGGGAAAACCCACCGCCTGTAACGTTTCCTGGATGAAGCTCCAGCTCAATCTGTCATAAGCTTTTGCCAGGTCCAATTTCACCACCATTTGACCACGGCTCCCTTTCTTCAGACCCATCGAATGGATCACTTCCTGCAGGATGATGATGTTCCCGGCAATACTTCTTCCTGGGACAAAGCTCGACTGAGTTGGGTGAATCAGGCGCCTCATAAAAGGCTTGATTCTGTTGACTAGGCACTTCGTCAGGGACTTATAGACCACGTTGCACAGTCCAATGGGCCTGAATTGGGAAATACACTCAGGGCTTTCTTTTTTTGGGATTAGAACCAGAAGGGTCTCATTGATGCTTCTTATCAGGCTTGGGGAAGTGAAACAGTCAGACACAAACTTGGAAAAAGAATCAGCCAC